ACCTAAAACCATACTGACAATCAGAGAGGATTTTATGTTTATTAATAAATGTATCTAATCTGTTATTAAAGAGTTTTTCCAGAATTTTTGAAAATTGTGACAAGAGAGAAACCGGCCTATAATTTGTGAAGTTGTGCTTATCACTAGATTTATACAGAGGAATAACCTTTGCTATTTTCATAGTGTTAGGGAACTGCCCAAGTCGAAATGACATGTTAAAAATATGGGTTAATGGTTGTGCTGATTTATTCAAAGGATCACAGGTAAAATTAACATTACACGCTCAGGTATCTTGCACCTCCAAACTGCACGCAGGCAGATGAAAGATGAAAGATCCTGAACCAAACCAGGCCTATACATTTATCCCTTCGGTTGCCCCATACTACACAGAAACGTCAACCGCGACGTGTCCCCGGTGCCAGCTTTGCAGCTGGCCATACCAGTAGTCAAAACATGAAATAAATCAATGTGTGTTTGTCTGTTGATTAAGTGGTGTGTAGCTAAAAACATTCTCACATGACCTCTAGTGACATGTGATGACATTAAACATCAGAACATATTATGGCTAAGGCTACAGTTATACACATCATAATAATAATATTAAACACCCTGTCTGCTGACAGTCATCAACTCTTCTCTCTAGTTATCCTTGACCAGATGCACCCTGTAGAAACTCATGAGCATGACTAAGCATTTAACAGTCTAACTAGACATCCTATCTCCACTAAACATTTCTAATACATACAAGTACCTAACCAATATCTATCTGACTAAAAATACCTAACAAGAAGGTAGTTAAAAAGACTACAGTAAAATGTAACTTTGCCACTCACTTATATAGATTAATGCTTGAACTGAAATCTAAGTGACATTTCAGTTGATTGTAACTGAATTTTAATATTCTATTTTATATATAGTTGAAAATTAAAAATTATTTTCCACACAGAAATGTATATCACTTTTAATTACTCTGTAATTTAATTGATCTATTTAATTCAAACAAATTTTAATTACTTTAGGTTTTTTGAAACAGAAAGTGGCAGCACTGCAATAATTTAGATCTAATAGGGAAAAGCAGCTAAATAATTTCCAGTGTTTCTCTCATCAGTGGAGAATTGTCATGTTGTTTTTGCTAATCAAAGTTCTGTGTTATTGGGGGGTGGGGGAGTGTTGTGCTCTTTTCTTAGCACAGCACATATTTGTTAATGTCCTCATGATTTATTATTAAAGGCACATTCAGCCAGCCTTTGTCATGCTGAAACCTGTGTGAAGATTTTTACATAAGCATGGGGCCCAGTCTGCTGGGATTGCTTTGCACCGTGAGGGGGCCTCCACAGGGTTATATTAGGGGTCTACATATCAGGACCTTTGCACCTCTTAACACAATTACTACACCAGTCTTCTGACCTGATCTGTGTGCCTTATTCATATGTATCTTCTGCTCTCTGGGGTGTAAAGTTTCCAGTTGCAAACCCTTGTGAATGGGTAAACTAATTTAGGGAGTAATTCTCACTACAAACCAGGGAGTCTGTCCACAACTCAAGAATGTTGACCTTAGAAAGCAGCACAAAGAGGGCCAATAATTTAAAAGGATGCTTTCCTGGAAGCACAGTGTGGTAAAAGAGTACCACAGAGGGTTATAGTTCAAGCATAGAGTTCTTCTATATCTTTGAGTGCCGTTGTAAAGCCATTAGCTGATGAAATTGTGCAACAGTCACAGACTATTGGATTGTTTTTTTGTGTTTTTTCAAAAAGTGATGCAAAAGCTGCAACACTTCATGGGGCCTGAAGATAAAGACCTCGTTGAAAAAAAATAGATAGTATTACTTTTGCTTTTTTTAGAGGCAGGTAGCAGGTATCTGTTTTGTTAGATGTTCAGGAATTCAGGACCACAACCTCAAGTTACAGGTGCACACATCTGCTGTTATTACATTTTCCTGTATGTTACTTGGTGGGTATGCCAGCCAAGGCTACATACAGGAAAAGGCTGCTGTGTGTAAATGTAAACTGGGGGGATGGTCACATGCAGCATATTTATGAACATGTTTATGTATGTTTGTGCAGGATTCCCATTAATAGCTCTACGGGCAGTGAGCTGACAAACAGACAGTGTTTCATTAGTGATTCCTGTAATATCAATAAAGTTGGAATGGTTAACAGGAAGAGTGTGGGATGGAGCAGGGGGAGACTGACCCAAGGCCACAGGAGGTGTCAGCAGGCTGCAGAGGATAATGATGATGATGATGTCATCGCTCATCAGCTGAGAGGAGGAGATTTAACCAACACATTATCTTTGTAGCAAGCGCCAGGTACTGTAAAGACTAAATATGTATAGCTATGAAAAGAAAATGATGGAAGAATAACTAAATGTAAAAATCAAAGGCGTATGCTACTGAACATCGCTAGCTGTTGATAATACTATATAGTGACAAACTGCAGGGGAAATAACTTCAAAGATGAATATAGTTTTGCAACTATATGTTTGAGTGACAAACTGCAGGGGAAATAACTTCGAAGATGAATATAGTTTTGCATTTATATGTTTAACATTTTCATTAAATTAAAGAAAAGAATTTGCCAAAGCTGTTAACAAGCACTTTAGTGGTAAAAAATGTCAGTGAGGTTAAAAAGGCACTACAACAGTTTCTCATGATTGGGGAACATTTAATAGATGGTCAAAATGAATGCAGCAGAGTAACCAGTTATGAGATCCCATGACTTTTAATCCCTAGTATTACTGTGGCTTCTAAATAAATACATGGATTCTCCATGATACAACTCCATATCATTTGTTACTGATTATGACCTGGTGCACTCATAGTATTGAAACCCATTTCCCCCATTTGTAATGAAAATTCGGTTTAAAAATAAAAGGCATCTTAAATCCTGCATGAGTTAACCTGCTGAGGACCTAGGGTTAATTTCTCAGCCAGCTCTTTCCAGAGCCACAGAAGATAATGCGTTGTAGTTTTCACAGACTGACCAACACTCCACGTGACAATTAAACAGATCTTCATGGAGTGCCTATTTAAAACTAAATGAACAAATGTTTTCACCCCCAAAACTGATTATGTTAATCAGAGGATATTGTCTCCACATAGAATGATTTAATGAACAATGTAGGTGCAATTTTTTTAAACCTGCAAAACAGCGTTTGTGATTCACGACCAAGTTGCACGATGTGTTCCAACAAGCAGCCCAGCTCCCAGTCTGATGCTGAGAAACATGTGGCTAAAGCACCATCTCTTGGTCTTCTGTAAAAATACAACCACACTGTAGCTCCTGGCTTCATGAAGTGAGTTTATGCACTAGAGGGTGGTGTTGTATTTCTCTCACCTGATGGACCAATTCTCAGTTTATACTGCTCCATCACAAAGCGTGACATTCAGCATAGCCTATGCTGTAATTAATGTTAGTGCCATTTACTCTATATAAGATTTTATCACATGTACTTGAATGTTCACAGTGAAGTAGTTTGTGCATAACAATAGCAGTGTGTTAGCAATGATTCTGGGAAACATTTTGGTATGAAGAACAGTTCTCTGTTGCTTTTACAAATGCAGACATGCTTGTTCAGCCTCTATTGTATGAATTCACTAGTTCACACGGGAAGGTCCTGTTTGTTTTCTACACCAAACACAGACATGTTTTGTTTTCATCAACAGTTGAGTGGTGATATTTTCTGAAGAAATAATTCGACCTCACTAGATTTTTATTTATTTATTACACTATATTGCCAGACACAAAAGTCCATTCAATCACTGTTGGAGGTTCAAGATGATGTAAACCGACCGTATGAGCTGACAGCTGTGCTGGTACATGAAGTCCTAGAATTAATGTCATTTGAAATGAAGTGAATGAAAATATAAAAGCAGCTGCATTTCAGGCAGTTCTCAATATGGCTCATATCCCAGAGACTCCTTGTTACCCAGTTTTTTTTTTTCACATAGTGAAACAGGGATGTGAATGCACGTTAAACTGCCAAAAGAAACTACAACTCCCAGTGCGACTGATATGAACAACAGCTCATCTCGGCGATTTTTTTACGTTCACATTAGTGAAAGATAGTAACCAAAAAAAATTGTTTTTTTTTTTTACATCTTAGAATTCAAGCAGGAAGAACTGCTTTGATTTGTGAATGTTTTATCTAATGTTGGGTGATCAAAATTACATTCCGCACAATTTCCCCTCTTATTAAAATTCTGAAATGTAATATTTTCGACAGACAGTGAAGGCACCATTCGCCAGCAGTAGCTGTCCGCACCGAACAGGTTTCATTCAGCGGCTCCGCTGAGGACAACAGGCTACCTCTGTGTTCTGTGAGTATCACAGCCTTCTGTGCCTCCAGCGTTTCTAACAACTTAGGTCAAATAACAATTTGTCGCCATTGTAGTGGAGGCCGAGACTTACTTCACAAATATCTCGTATTAAATCCGGGTTTTATCTCTTTCCTAAGTCATGGCTGAAACATTTGTGGGCAGCGTGGTCTATTGTTCTCTGGGTATATTTGTCGTTTTGACAAAGGAGGTGAATGCTGCTTTGCCTTACCCGCTGCGCCAATGTCACACAAATGCAGTGTTTGTTCGTGTAAGCTAGTTTTATTGTTTTTGGATATGATATAGTTTGGCGTCTGGATATTAAGCGATATAAAGTGAGCATTTAAATTCAGAGTAGACGTATCAGAAAGCTGGAAGTGCAAAGATTTCTTTGGCTATAATAATGTGTCCACTTTGAAAGAGGCAACTATTCTTGACATTTGTTCATGTACTGACTTTTTGTTTTTATTTTTTTCCTAGGATACTGCACAGCTATGGGACAAAGAAAACATGCAAAACTGTGAATCAAGGTTGCAGTCAACCAAAGAACCATAACATCATCATAGAGTCCTGAATTACAGGAGCACTGTAAAGACAGCTCCTTTTTGTTATTAATTTGAAGTTTGGAAAAACGAACTTGTAGTCCATTATAGTAAACAGTAGTAAACTACTTGCATAATTTTCAGTGTTCAGGCAAGGAAGGTGATGTATGTCTGTATTCAGTCAAGATACCGCTATGTTTGTTTAGTGGTTTGTGGAGATATTTTGGCCCTGATGGGCTGTGACAGAGGCTTCTTGTGACAGAGAGGTGCTGCTGTAAATATAAAGGTGGACTAAAACATGCACATAGTTAGAGGGGTTTGGTCCGCCCCGGTCCTACTAGGGCAGAGTCGTTGCTCCTGCACCAAGCCCCGCAGCAGCTCTGCTGTGTCCTTATGTTCCCAGAGTTAGTGACTGCACAGTACAGCCAGAAGTCAGTTGAAGCTGAAAGTCCAGCTGCGCCATGACTTCGTCAGGAACAGGGAGTGACCTGTCAGTGGCCCTCGAGATCTGTAAGCTCCAGAACCTGTACATGGACCCAGAGAACTGCTTTAAATCAAAAAGTTTACCAATCCTAAATGGACCCTGTCAGCCAGATTGTAATGCTGCTGTGCAGCCTCAGCCAGTCAACACCACCCACACCTGTGTGGACACGAGCAGTGGGCTCCAGCCACAAACCTCAGACCTGAACCAAGCAGAGTCCCCCTCCTCTAGGACAGATGTCTCCCCCTCTGTTTCCAGCATGGTGGGCCTCAACAGCTCACTGCCTGTGGAGGCCAATAGGGCCTGTGGCACTGAAGGCAAAAGACTTGGTTTCTCTCTCACCTGCCTCATCCACATCCCAGCCAGGAACCACATGCGGGTCATCCTGAGGGACTCGCGGTGCTTCCTGTTTTGCATGTGCTACCTAACCTTTATTCAGTCTCTGATGGTTTCAGGCTACCTGAGCAGTGTCATCACCACCATTGAGAAGCGCTACAGTCTGCGCAGCTCCGAGTCTGGCCTGCTGGTCAGCTGCTTCGACATCGGCAGCTTGCTGGTCGTGGTCTTCATATCCTACTTCGGTGGCAGAGGTCAGAGGCCACGGTGGCTGGCAGTGGGAGGTTTGGTCATTGCTGTGGGGGCATCATTGTTTTCCCTGCCCCACTTCATCTCACCACCCTATCAGATCCAGGAGATGAACTCATCTGTGGGCCATGAAGGCCTCTGTCAGAGTAGTAATAACAGCAAACATGAACTGCTTGATGTTGCATCGTGCCCTCGTGACCAGGAGGGCAATGAACACAACCTGTACGTGGCTCTATTCATCTGTGCCCAGATACTTGTGGGCATGGGGTCGACGCCCATCTACACCCTGGGGCCCACCTACCTAGATGACAATGTGAAGAAAGAAAATGCATCACTCTACCTGGGTAAGCCACCCTGAATGTACCAAAGAAAACATGCAAAACTGGATTTTGAAGTTTGGAAAAACGAACTTGTAGTCCATTATAGTAAACAGTAGTATGAGGACGCAGGGACTCTAGAGGTTAATGGCACCAGTTCAGTTCTGTACTGTAATCCATTCACTTTTTCTTTGCTTATGACTTAAAAGGGTGAATCAGTTAGATTGGAGGATAAAGCAATTGCACAATTCAGACATACTAAAGTTGTTTTAATGAATACAGACAAGTTGCTTTTTAGACTTGAGCGATTTCACTAGTCTTTCTCTGCAGTACAAAATATCTGGTATGTGACTGGAAGGATGCAGTGCTCTGGGGGTTACACAGTTTGTAGTCTCTTACAAGTTGATTTCATTGCTATGATATATGTAAATGGACTGGACATTTGCATGTTAAATTTAAAAGACAACTGGTTTGCTCTCACTGATGTTTACAAGGAGTGTATGGTATGTAGAGGTCAACGATAAACCCCCCATCAAGCCCTCTGTCCTTTTGAGTTCTCCACAACATGCAGCCTCTGCATCACACTGAGGTAAATACAGAGGCTGCAAAGTCAACCCCGGGGCAGAAGCGCAGGAGTGTGGGGAGAAGCAGAACTGGGTTGCTTATGATTAATGGTCCAGTATTGTCTGTGTGAGTATGTGCACAGTGTCCTCAGGCATGTGCATGTGCACAGAAGGCTGGGACCAGTAAGGCAACACGGGATTTCTTCTGTGCGAGTGCTAGCAGATAGTTTTTTTACTTGTCTCCGTCAGCGCACTGCAGTTGGCTTATTGGAACATGGGGCACTCCTCGCAGGTCACTGACTTGTGAATTGGGCCACAAATAATAATAATATTCATTGTTTATGGTGTGTGAATTGTTTTTTGATTGATTCATTAAGCACTTAGTCTAGAAAACATCAAAAACTGTGAAAAATGTTCATCCCAAATTCCCAGTCTAGGTAGTGTATTCAAATAGCTCCTTTTATTTTCAGTTTGTCCACTAATTTATTACTTGACTAATTATCTTAGTGTGACCATCATTTGCAAATGTCTGCACTGCCTGTCATTGTACAGGTAATTTTTGTATGTCTACATCTGAATGAGGAGGAATGCATCTGCACTGTTGGATGAAAACCACTGAGGTGGTTGCACAGCATTAGGCACAGTGCTGACACCAGCCACAGTATTAGGCAGCCTATGGAGCACAGTCATTGCTGAGTACTCTCGTTGCTTGCTCCGCTGGCCTCCAGACCCAGTATTGATCAGATCCCCGCATTACAGGGAGCCAATGCAGCATAGCTATTGAACCAGCCAGAACGACAAGCAGAAAACAACCTTTAACAGCAACTTGCTCAGCCCTCACCTTGTCAAGGTGCTCTACAGTAAGCACATCAGGTCTCGTATTGCTCGTCGAGTTGTCACAGCCCATGCATTCTCTCTCTTACAGATGCCATCAAAGGCCGCACTTGCTCTGGTGACCTTGATGGCTGGTTTCAGAGGACTCAGAGAGGAATAATCAGTTTTGTTTCAGCATGGCATGTTGGTGTGAGTAGATAAGTGAAGAGAAGTGTCCTTGATTTGGGTTTCAGATAGACATAACCATGTTATCTGACCTCTAGATATATCTTTCAGATGTTTTGAGTTCCAAAAACATTGTAGTCTTTGGTGCATGAATAAGCCACGGATGTGTAGTTTTTGTTCCGATGTTATCGGTGCACACATCGCTACATCTTTTCTCTGTCTTTGTTTCTCATTCTGCTCTGACAGATTTACATACTTTGCATCACCATGGTCAATGTTTGTGCCCTTTCCTGAAAATCCTCTACATGTTGTGTGAAGATTTGTTGCGTTAAATTAGAGGTCTCTCTTCTGGAGTACTGTAACAATTCAGAGTAAATGATAAAGTGGAAATGAACTTGGGTGAAACACTGCCCAGCCTTTTCTTGTTTTGCTGCATCCTTTCATGAATGCCCTCAAACTCTGACAATCTTTCACTGACTTGGTAACACAGTAATCCACAAACCTAAATGGTCAGTACTTTAGACACCGTACCTTTCAGAAGGTCACACAAAAATATACCAGAAATTTCCCCTTTTGTTATAATCCTTTATCTTTTAGAACATTTTCCTTTTCTAGACTTTGCAGCCTCTTGACATGCAAAGACGCCACCCTCTCTACATGCAGTATAAGGTTCGATTCTTCCTGGACGATACTGTCCTGCTAAGTAAGAGGGTGAAAAGGTGGTGCCCGGTTTAGGAAGAGATGGGCTTTAACACTCACAGGGATGGCCAGCACACAAGAGCTGTGCACTCTAAATTTGGAAACAACATTTGCTCTCGGTCTCTCCCCTGAAGTATGGGTTTTGTGTGTGAAGTCTGTTCCCTGCAGATTAGAGAGGAAAAAATAGGAATGACCGGTTAGTTTACAATCAGATCTCATTGTGTTTTATTTTTTGTGATTCATGATTATCAGTCCTGGCACAGCACAGCTCAATAAATTTCATTAAACAGTTTGTCCCGTTGTGCTTAGTAGTGGCCAAAGCAAATGCAGATTGTGAACACACACACACACACACACACACACACACAAATCCCTGGAGGTCCTGCCTACTCTTCTCACTCTGCCCCTCCAGACTGACGGATCACATTTCAGGGATTGGTTAGGTTCACATTTTGCCCAGTAAGAGGCTGGCACCGATATCGGCAGAAGGCTAGTCGTGTTTCACCACTGTCCTTTTGGCTTATTCTCATGGAGGCTTTAAGCATCGCTGCCCTCT